GATTAACTGTAATACTAACACTACATTTCAACACATGGTTTCATTTTTAAAAGGTGATTTTAATGTTCCTTTTTCAATGATTCAGCGTCTGGCTAAAATTAATCCTTATATCTAGCTTATCTCATATGGCTGCTCGAACCAGAGTTCATCATCGGCTGCCGGGCAGTTTCCTCCCCGGCGGTCACGACCTTTCCTGCGGGAGCGGCGGCTCCGCGAGCGCGGACCGAGTGGTCGCCTCCCCCTTTGCCCTTAGGGGTCGAGGCGGTCGGGGCGACGGGCAGCGGGTGGCGGTGGCGTCAGCTGGCGCCAAGAGCGCTGCTCCGGGCTCCGGCGGAACGGTACGCCTCTGCGTCAATCGCTCGTGGCCGGGCACTTGCAATCGTGGCCCTCTGCGTTCATTCAGAATCAGAGGCGGTGATGCATTCGCTGGCCTCCCCGCGCAGTCCAAGCAACTCGCCCCCCCCTCGGCAAGGCTACCTACTTCTTGTTGTCTCCCTGTTCGAAATCGGAATCGGAATGGCAGAGCTAGCGTCTTGCAGTTGCCTCCTCGGCTTCGCGACTCACGTGGCCCTCCCCCGCTTCATATCCCGCGATTGGTGAGCGCGCCAAATTCTGCGATACTCGAACGTCATCCAAGTTCCGAAAAAGTGTGCAGCACCGATGCGGCGCTCGGAGACAGAGGCGGCCTTATTTTGCCCGTGAGTCACCGGGCGTGCGGGCTGGCCTGGGTTGTGCCGAGACAGTAGGGCTGCATGCCTCAGCCACCCCAATGCTCCGAAAACGCTTGCAGATAGTGGACACCTACACGTTTCCTGGCATCTTTCGCTGCAACGTTATATTCAATATAATTTTATAAAACACCTGACGCGTGCGACCGTCCCATTACAATATATATCTTTATTTATCATTGAATGAAATATATGTCTGTGTGTGAGGGGCCTTATGTTTCAAATACACCATTTTTAAAATTCGTCAAATCCTCAGAGGTTCTTAAAAAAACCGGCCCTGTCTTCTTAAAACGAACATTCAGACATCGTAAGCTAAGTATTGTAAGCAAATGCTAAGCATTGTAACTGGGTTTTCTAGTTCTAGCGATGTAGATGTAGATTTCCCCCACCTACACACAAGCGGAAAGATTAAATTATAGAAATCACTGTTTGGTTATGAACATGACGATAATGATCCAAAAGTCAGTTTCCGCATACCGTATGAATTGTATTTCCGTATAGACGACTATTATTGTCAGCAGTTTCATCTATAGATGAAAGGCTTTAATTACTTAAAGAGCAAAGTTGTGCGTTTAATTTTGTATATTATTTCAACAAACTAGCACTTTCTTTAGAACAGACATGTTAAATAATGGAATGTACCTATAATTTAAACTGACCGATGAGACTGATGCAGGTAGTTCAAAAGATATAAAAGTAATAGAACATGCAGATGAACTAGATTTAATCACGAAATTTCTCAAATCAAAATTGTCAATAATTGAAATATTAGACTTCTTATACCTAATTAAATTAACTAGCCCATTCCCTAATATTACTCTTGCCAGTTGGCTTCTATCGCCGCCCAAAATACTTTTTCTTGAAATTTTCTTAATTTTTCGGCTTCCTAATAAGAGAACGGAAATATTATTTTAAGCATATTAAAGAACAGTGAAACCTCGTCCTAAATGGCAATTTTCTTTAAAACATTTGGAGCCGTTTTTAATAAAATGGCATTTAAGTGCTACTTTAACTTCGAAATTTGAACCTTTTCGCAGAAAGCTATTGAATTTTCGGAAAAATTCATATGACATCATTTCATGAACTTCCAGTCACAAATGCAGTAGTGTTTACAAATCGCTGGACATGTGCATATTAAAGGCATGAGAGATTAAAAAAACAAAAAAACTACATTTGTGAATTTTTTGAAAAAAATAAATGAATACAGCAAGATTAATTCTATGACAACTTAAACAGTTAAATTAGCACTATCAGTTGGAAAAGTCTGAAGAAAAATTTTGGAGCTGTTTTTAAGAAAATGGCGTTTGAACGTTTCTGAAACTTTGAAAATTTGAAATTTTGAACTCGTTTTCACGGAAAACTGTTGACTGTTAGGGAAACTTTATCTAACATTATTGAAAGCACATGTACTAATAAATACACGAATATAAAGAAGTTGCCGGTAATGTAAATATAAACGACGTGAGAGACAAGTCAAAAAATTACATTTGTGTAATTTTTGAAAAAAACAAAATAGAGCAATATGGTGTTTATGTCATCTTATAGAGTGAATTTAGGACAACATGAACACCTGACATATATTTGCGTAATTTTTCACCATCTCTCTCTTTCTCTCGCTCGCTCTCACTCAGTGGTGGCTTATAGGATAGTGCCAGTGTGACATGACACCACCAACAAAAAGGAAAATACATTATTCTTCACAAAAGTGTGTAAATATTGTTTCCTCAAAATATTTTTCTTTAAAGTAATTCATTTACACGAGGGCTTAGTCATTCAATGCCTTATGAACTCTCTTCAAACGCACAAGGCCCAGTGTCGGTTTCCTCCTAAACCTAATAACCTTCATCTGATTGGCACTCTTCCTGTCCGTATAAAGAACACTGTGTTTGTTTGCATGCGTCTCTTATGGATGAGACGGTACCGAAATCGGACCGGCACAGTAGTTACCGTGCTGTTCGATAGAGTACACTAGTGAAGATATCTTCATCGAGCAAACTGTCGCTCAGGATATCTCGTTATTTCGTACGTCTTTCCTCGTGTTTCGCACAGGGAAAGACACATTCAGAAAGCTGTGAATTCTTGAGATTAATGTGGGCCCTCAGGCTTTCAGACTGAGTAATTTCATTTGTTCTTGTTATTTTTGTTTGCTTTCAGTTATTATATTCATTATAACTTAATAAAGACAATGACTGTAAAATTAAATTTTGTTTCCCACAAATTTTATTTTAGAGATTACTAAACCAGTTCTAACCCTCGAGCGGGCACGCTGTTGCACAGAGTGCAACAGGCAAACATTTTTGCTTTTCATGTCTTTTAACGGAACATTTCGGAGGCAATCTCGGGAATTATTCCAATAGTAGAGTGTCAGTCATCGAATGGTGTTGGGATGATTTCTGCCAATATAAAGATAGCAATTTCCTGGCGCCTTATGTCGCAGCCTACGCTGTCCGTTGCACTCCATGCCACGCGCGCCCATTCCAGTGAGTCAGCGGGACCGTGAAACCCAGAATAGAAGCCCTTATCGAATGTCAAATTCTCCGAATGATACTTTTATAAGACTTGTTTCATTTATACGAAAGGCCAACAGAAACGGGACAACATACAATTTCTATACTAGCTATTTTTTGTCAAAACGGCAATTAGATATTGGTTTGACCGCAGAAGCAACTGGGAAAATACACCTCCTGAGTTTCTACCTATCAAAACACGAGTAGAAGACTACTTTTTAATTCAAGAATAATATAATTCTAGTTTAATGTGTACCTAAGGGAAGTATAGCGTTAATGCTTCCTTCAGCATTGCATTACAAATGTGACAGAGAGAAAGACATGCATCATCGTTCATTATAACGCCACAAAAGGAGGAGTGGACACTGGATCAGATGTGCAGTTGGTATTCTGTTTCAAACTTTACGAGGGGGTCAATATCTCTTTTCCTCAGATTGAACATTGCAGATGGGAATGCACTCGTTCTCTTGAAAGGCAAAAATCACGGCTGCGTTTGAGGCCATAGGAAAGTTTTGCACAATTTGACAATTCGTTGTTTGCAACTTGTCTAAATAATGTTAACTTATATAAAATCGAAAATCGCGATGTTGTACGAAGTATAACGCCCGCTCGAGGGTCAGTGTTTAGAAATGTACACTATGTGATCAAAAGTATCCGGACACGTCTGAAATGGTGTTACGGTGTGGTCGTGTTTTTCATGAAGGGGGCTTGCACCCCTTGTTGTTTTGTGTTGCACTATCACGGCACAGGCCTACGTTGATGTTTAAAACACCTTCTTGCTTCCCACAGTTGAAGATCTATTCAGGGATGGCGATTGCATCTTCCAACACGATCGAGCAGCTGTTCGTACTGCATGGCCTATGGAGTGACGACAATAACATCCCTATAATGGACTGACTTGCACAGAGTCAGTCTTGAACACTATTGAAAATTTTGGAATGTTTTGAAATACCGACTTCGTGTCAGGAGTTACAAACCTACATCGATACCTCCCTCAGTGCAGCACTCCGTGAAGAATGGGCGACCATTCCCCAAGAAACCTTCCAGCACCTGATTGAAAGTATGCGTGCGAGAGTGGAAGCTGTCATCAAGGCTAAGGGTGGGCCAACACCCTATTGAATACCAGCATTACCGATGGATGGCGTCACGAACTGGTCAGTCATTTTCAGTCACGTGTCCGGATACTTTTGATCACATAGTGTAATGTTTTTTGATCAATGCTTTATTAACATCGATGTTTTAATTTTGAACATCGATAATTGGTAACATCGATTATCGACACTGCATCACTAACTGGCACCACCAATAGAATTCCGTAGCGGCCGTCACTGCCCTCACTCAATCATTCACATTTTTGGGATTTGTTTTTTCTTCGGTCGGTGTTACGCCTCTACATTCCAGAGTCATATTCGATATGAACATTTCGCAGGATGTCTATGTCGTTTTTTAGTCGTATTGAATTTACATTGCATGTACCTGGGCGTTTTTCCTGTACATATCCCGCCTGATTTCGTACAAACGTAAAACAGAATGTCGCGAAGCTACGTATGGTAGACTTATCGACACATATTAGACACGATACTTAAAGGAATTGTCCTAATGTATTGGACTCATGTGACAATTTCATGTGATAACTTCTCCAAGTATGGGCGATGGTGACCAATTGTGCAGAATCGTCGTGAATCTTCGCAGCGCGCACCCGCACAGTTGCGACGTAGCGCTAAATATTCTCATTTCGCGGGCTGTTACACCAGGAATATGGCGGATGCTATTCCGGCCGAACTCTGCCCACGACGGGTGAGCTAAAATCAACGTGATATATCTCTTAACTCGTTGGCTAAAATTCACTTCATCAACCACGCAGTTCCCCCACCATCAGTGTAGCCTAATGGTGACGTCACGGCTCGGTGTTTGCTATTGGCCAGCAAAAGACAAGTGCATCATGACAGATGCCAGACAAGATGCATCCTGAGACCACGTGACGACGGCAACTGATAGCCTGCTGATAGACTGTGAGCTGATGGAGCAGGAAGGAAACGTAAGGACAGAAGGAGAAAGCAAAGCAAAGCACACATCAGCACACATGCACCCAACAGGATCGCGCAGTAAGGCTTGACAGTTCTTTCTCGTACAGTATAATTTGATGTTATGATTTTGTGTACGATAAAATAGTTATATAAGAGCACAACAATGTATTCGGAACATTCTTGGAGAAATAGTGCAAATCGTCAATGTGTTGCGAGTAAAATGTAAGAGTTTGTAATCATAATCCATAATGAAAGAATTATTTTTCCGTTTATTTATGTTACGACAGCTTAAGAATAATCGACTTCAGATACACTTGACAATCAAAATAGAGAGTTACATTATTTCTGCAACGATCTCATGATGTTAAAAGTCTGTCATCTTCAATTCGTGCAATAAATAGGCGCAACTATTTTTAGAATCAGTTAAAAAATTATACAATATTTACTTTTTTGGGGTAATATATTTTCTGTGTAATTTATCGATTACTGACTTTTCCTCTGTAGTGAAGAAGCTACTCACAGATCTAATATAAAGACTCAAAGAAATGGCATGGAAATGGAACAACTTATTTTTGAGAAAGCTAAAAGCAAGGTAAGCACTGGATGTATGGAGAGTATTATTGAAAGATTATGATACTCCTATTAATTTTGATAGAGAACATTACGGTTTGTAAAGCAAAAATAGATGTTGATGAAGTTTGTATAATGACTTAGACAAAATCTGTATAATTTCATTATTTAATTCTTTTTTTTTTTTTATTTCAGGGAGAATATTTTATGTTTATAGCTCTCTTGATTCAAAAAATAAGAGAATGTGGTAAGTGTGCCTCACAAATGTTATTGATTTTCATTATTATCTAATTATGGAATAATCAAAATTTATTTGAGATATTTAAAATCTAGCCTAAATGTAGGAGACTGGGTCCTAATGCATGCTTTTTTTCTCTCTCTTGAGCTTTTGAAATATAAATTAATCAAGATCGTAAGTTTTATTGACTGTTGGTCAGTTGAAATTGTCAGCTTGAGCCTGGTGGTCAGGATTGTGCAAAGAAAATGGAGATACCTGTATACTAACCATGTGTTGATAAATAGTACTAGAATGTGCACTCTTCAAGATTCTGATGTGACTTTCTAAGTCATAACTCAATCATAAATCTAACTATCCCAAATGAGTTTGGTATTTGTGTACTACCAAGATACAGAACCGTCAGTATTATGTGTACCCAAAGAAGAGAAGGAAATGCTTTTACCGATACAGATAACTACAAAAGGAAGAGTATTGCAAGAGGATATAATAAGACCTCTGCTTTTCAATATTGCAATGCACAATGTGGTCTTGGAAATCAAGATGGAACAAATGTGATTGTATTTGTATGCAGTTGACTTCTCTTTAGTGACATACTAAGTTTTTCAGCACAAACCCTTTAATTCACCACATGGACAAATCATTGAAAGAATCTGGAGAGGAGAGAGAGGGTTTCCTTAAGAGATGGTTATGGTATCTACTAAAATTGGAATTCATCACTTTGTCTTTGCAATTCAATCCCCTGAAGAATGCTTCTCTTCACCTATTATATTTAAAAATGGCTAAAAAGAGATTTACTAATTTTTTAACGAAGGGACATATTGTTAAAAAAGAAAGTATAAAAACAAGAGAGCTTTGTAAAACATTGAGCTTTTGAAGAATGACACATGAAGAATGAAAACTGGCTGCCAGTTGAAGCGAGAAGTACACATTGGCTCAAATTAATAATGTTAAAAATGCTCTAGAGCTTTCTCCATGTGAAAGTGTTTTCCTTAGTGAACTGTTTTGTAGGACTACTTCAATAAATATCATTATAGAAATTCATTACACTAGAACTATTTCCACATTCATACTCAGTTGCGCATGTCATGAGTTTAAAGTATTTCATCAATCTGCTTTTAGGTATTCAAATGGATATTGATTTAGCTGGCCCTTCTTATGCTGACATAGAGCAGCCATTGGTGGATCCTCTTGCAGAAATTCCTGGTCTGGCTGAGCAAGGTAATGTTATTTTGATTTCAAGAAGCAGCCTTTGGGTGGGGTGTTCAGGGAGGAATAGTAAACTCCAGGGTGCAAATTTCCTGGAGAGATCTAAAGTTTGTAAATTTATTTTAATTTTCTATGTAATAGAAAATACATTTTATATAATTTCTATAATAAATATTTAGCCAAGATCATATGTTGGTTAAAAGGAATTGCCGAATATAGTAAATAAACAAATTACATCTTTGTTTCCAAACCTTTCAATTGCATTTAATGTTGCCCATTACAGTAGCCAGCAGATAGTGGAGTTTTTCTACTAAACTAAAATTAATTGAATTTGTCTATGAACAACAATATTGTAAGAAAGGTGATATTTCCGAGCCATCCTGTCAATGTACAAAGATCTACTGGACAAAATTAACTTCCTTATTGTAATTGACTTACAGTATAACCTCAGTATTCTGAACAAATTGGGGGTCTGTTCAAATTCACAAATGTTTGGATTATCTGAAAAAATGTTCCGTACATATACAAATACATTTACATAATTTCCAAATGCAAAATAATGTACCGTGTGATGTCCAAAAATGGAAACATAGCTTAACGATCACATCGCATTATCAACTAGATTCAATTCTTTACGGCAAAAGAAGATTACTGATTTTGCAAGTTCCTCTAAGTGAAAATTACTGCTGCATAAACATGTGATATGCACTGTAGTTACCTGTGCAATAAACATTTCATTTTGACTTGTGGTACAATAATTAGTTGTTCAGTTTTGCAGTAATTATAAAATCCTTTCTTTACATTACAAATATGAATTTTAATGATATTGTTTATTGTCTCCTGTATGCCGAATTTTGTTTGGATTATTCAAAATTTCATGATTTGCAGGGTTCTACTGTATTTGCAAAGTTAAAAGTTTGAAAAAGTGCCCCTCATTTAATTCTTTATTTTATCCAATGTATCCAATTTTGAAAGTATGCAAACTGTCCTCCAAAATACAAACAGATGTCAATACTGCATGATTTTATCAAACTTTATGATGTTTATAAAAAGTGCATTTTATGAGTTTCTTTATATGATTTGCTGTCCATCCTGTGTTGTATGGGTGTTCAAAAATATACCATCATTCTACACCGGAAAGAAATTCAGTTACAAGTTGTCATAGAGAATCAAGAAGACAATTCTCCGAACATTATAGACACAATGAAATTATGAATAATATTTTGAAGACATCTGAAAGTCTGATTTGTCATATGTAACGGCAACTTGCAATACTGTGTGCCTACTCATGATCCACTTGTTTTGAAGGTCCTGAATTTGACGTATAATGAACAAATGAAATGTCAGTCTGTGGTGGAATGAAATTGAATTTGAATAGTCCAGCTGATAAGATTGCCTCTCATGATTCTTGGAATTACTTATTGATTTTTTCTTTTGTTTTGTTTTTTGAATTATCTGTGTAATTTTTTTTTTGTCTGGTGTAGGACCAAATAGATATGAATGTAAGGGAAGAAGAGGACTTGGAGAATTGGATCTGATGTCAGAGGTCCCTGTACCATCCCTCAGATGTAAGTATGTTGTAAAGTGAGGTCTGTTAGCAAACTGCATTCGAGCATCCATTAACTATTGGATACTAATTTTTTGATCTTTTACATAAACAATTAATATGCAGAGACAATTTACATTTACAGGACTTTTTGAGGAGGAGGTACTTTTGTATGTCAAAGTAGCTTCATTGCAATTTGTGGAGGGCCTTTAATCACTTAAAAAAAAAGTTTGTTTTTATTTCTTATAAATATAATATACTAGCTTAGTTTGACATCTTTGATGCTGTAAACTGTTTTTAAAAAATTTTTGATATGTAATATTTTGATCATTTTTTTAATGAGATTAGAAAAATACGAGACAAAAGGCCAGTCTCATTACTAGACCAATATGTGTCGAATGACTTCTCACTTGCCCCAAACGGTGGACCAGGAGTCCATTTAATAATTTTTTCCCATGTTTCGACCTTCCCCATGATTCAGTCTGTTCCTGACCGCTATCTAATGTTCTTTAAATATAAAAATAATAAGGAAGGTGTTTGAAGAATAAAATAGCCATTGGCAGACTGAGACGCAAAAAGTGTCATCTTACTTGCTCTGGGAGGGGTCCATCCTTCAGTGATGGATGGATAGACTGACACATGTTGGTTACCCAATTTCTGTATGTAGGATGTGTTTTTTCCTTAGATGGCTGTGAATTTAATTTTTGGGGTCTTGAAACAGATTTTAAAATAGTAAATTATTTTTTGGCATTAATACCCATTTATTTTTATTTTGATGTATTCATACTTACCCTGTAACCATATTTACAAGTGCTTCTTGAAACAGCTGGAAGTATGCTGACTCCTGGCGGAAGATCACTTCAGTCTGAAAAATACAATGGGGAATATACTTGGAAAACACCTGCATTTCGCAAAAGTATTATAGCTAAGTTGTAAGTAATTTTTGTATCATCTTCCTTTCTTCTTCTTTTATTTTTATTTTTTACTGTTAATTATTTGGTGTCTTGCCAGCAACAGCAAAAGTAGTGCAATGTTTCCTTTATCCCACTCCACTGGGATCCTTTACATAGTACTATTCACCTGAGCGGCAGCTTCTTGTAAACTAAACAGCATTGTATACACTCTGAATATATTATTCATTTCAAATAAAACTAGTGAATAATTATTTCTGTAGAGGCAGAACTTTCTTTTTGCCTCCTATAATTCATGTTAAGATCTAATTGGTGACATTCTCTTCTCAGAAAATGCTTGTATAAAAGAATTTTAAACATTATAACAAACTTTTAATTGATAATTTAGATATTTTCGAAAAAATTAACATATGTATGTACGTATTTTGAATGTTCATTTCAATAAATTTTGTTCCTTGTTATTGCAAGGGCTTTTTCCTATCTATTTGCCCATTATGCCTTTATGAGTTCAACTTGATTGCACACTTTAAATTGTTTCCTTAAGCAAAATTGAAATGATTGCACTGCTGCAGTGTGCATTGTAGCAAGTTTTGTGAAATCCATTCCATCCAAATCAGAAATTTCCCATTCCATTTTGTATACATGTGTGGAGTAGTACAAACATGTAGAGTTTTGTATATACCATGACCGGCTATAGTGATTTTCTGGGAACTAACATTTTTGGTTGACTATATACTGTAACTTTGTGCCAATGGCCCAGATGGACCACACATGTCAGGAGGTCAGCGAGGGGGCGGGGCAGTCCTTTGGCGGCAAGCAGAAGGCCACCAGAGGTGGGCCCCTCCTCAAGGGCCCGGGTGGGCGTGTCTCGGAACGTGGGTGTCAACTGGCGCAGAGGGAGATGATGGGTGAGTGCAGCTGCGGGGCAGCTGGACTCCAAAATTGCAAACAGGTTCACGTTTCGGAATGAGAGGACCTTTGCCTGTGAGAGTCGCAAAAGGTATGTAAAAAATACTTTAGGAGACGTTTGGGGGCTGATAAAAAATAATTCAAGATTTTTGAAATAGTTTCACATCAAGAAACTATTTCAAAAGAAATAGTTTCTTGCAATAAAACATTAATTTATCTTAATACGCTGTGAAAATTCTCAATATGTTGGTACATTTTATTATTTATAGTGATGAGGCAATGTACAGATATGGAAGACCAACATCTAAGAATAGTATGGAAATGGAACAGCTTTTATTTGAGAAAGCAAAGTCAAGGGTATGTTTCTTTTAATTTCATTATCTGATTTGTTATGCAAACACCCTTTTTAGGGTAAATTATTGTTGAAAATGAATAAAAAATTTTGCAATCCTTGTAGGAAGAATATTCAAGTTTTGCGGGAAGGGTTCTTCTTTATATTCGAGAAATGGGTATGTACTTAAATAATATTTGTATTTGGCCATTGTGTTGTGATATTATTACTAATCAATCTGTTTCAGGCACTAAAAGAAATGATGAGAGCAGTGAATTACCTATCAGTGATATTAGAGATCTTATCCCTGATCCATTGGGTGACTACATGGCTAAAAGGGGACATCGTAAGTTTTTTGATAGTAGAGAAATTCAATTGTTTAATTAGAAGTATTTATAAAATCATATATCTACATTTGTCTTACACACTTCTGTAATTTTAAAGTATTTATACCAATATATATTATATGTATATGTGTATAGTACAACCAATTTATCATTACATTTGTCAGTTTAGAAACAGTTTGTTAGGTTACTGAGAGAAGACTCTCAAAGATAGTAAGTGCCAAATGTTTTGAAAATTTATTTTTATAATGAACTGCTATGGAGTAGTCAAGTATTGCCTCATTAACATTTTGTTTGGTATACTTGATATAGGAGTACTAGCTTCCTGGAAATGTGACATGATGCAAGCATCCATTCAGTACATAATGATTATTGAACTTACTAAAAACAATTAATTTGTCATTGGTTGTACTCAATGTAGTAAATTCACAAATTGGATCAAGTCTTTTGAATTTAAATGTAAATTTGATATAAAATCAATTTAAAATAGTCAGTTTTGCCATCAAAGACACAATCTTACAATAATCCAATTAATGATTTTGTTTGATTCTGACATTCACAATAAGAGAACAGAAAGAAGATAAGTGATGTGTTATCTGATTCTGTTTCAGCAAGAAGAGTTCATTATCCTCCATATTGTTATTCAGGCCTACGAGGTACACCGAAGAAGTTTTTGGGAGGAGGATGAAAGAGTTTTCCTGTACTGGAGTATAAAAGGGAAACAGAAGTAAATATCTTGTTTTACTTTTAAAGCAGCTTAAGCTATTGGAAAAATAATTTTGCTCATTTTCAGAATATTTCATAGAGGAGATTAATTGAATTGAACATATAATTTTGATATACTTTTGTTTTTGATAAAGAACCATAAAAATTGAAAGGTGATCTCTCCTTATGATACAATGCGTTAAATATTTGTCATTTTTAGTGGGGAAACAATTCCTGAGAAAGTTAATACGTTAAGAAGGAATGTAAGTGTTATAACTGATTATTAAAAATGTCGGAAATACATTTATTAATTGAATATCCATAAATTTATGTATTTGTAGAGTTACTCGTGTCCCTGCATTTTGCTTTTTGTACTACTATGGATTTGGTTTGCATTTTGCTGTTCAAAAAAAGAAGTGAAACGTATGGAAAATGCAATGAGTATTACTTTTCTATGCAAGTTTGTGTATTTTAGAAGTGAATAGTGATTTTATATCATAATATGAGTTTCACTCTCAAGGTAGTATTGTTAAATACATTTTTACAATGCAATGCAATGTGAACTTATCACTTTCACAACAAAGATGCTTTCAGAATATAAGGTATATACAAATGTTAAAAAGGAGATACCTCTTTTTCTTTAATCCTATTTTCATACAAGTCATTTTCTTAAATTTCATACTGTACTTCCACTTGTTTTGCTGGACCCAAGTGGATGAACTACAAAGGAACTTCAATAACCCAAATTCCCCTTAATCTAAATGTTATCCAGCTTCACTTTTCATATGTCATCAGGAATGATTTGTTGACGAGTTAAAGCAATAACCACTATTTTCTGGCTTCCAGCCTTTGAAGTGCTCTTTTGATCACAATATTGTCAAAACAAGGACTAAGAGCACACTAGGTGAGTGTGAGAAATCTAATAGCTCTTCATCTAAATTTAAGAGAAATCTAAAAACTTATCTTTTGGAAGATTGTCAGTAATATTTCCTTCGGCTTGCTCTACACATTGATATGATTTGTCTGCCATGAATAGGATTGCCTCTAAACTTTTGTTCTGTTGAAATATCCTTTGATACTTTTTTCCCCACAGAATTATATTATGAATTACATTGTTTCCTTGGCAGTTCTTTTGTAATGTTCAAAATGTCAAGGCTGTACAAAGAATTGGGTAACAATAAAAAAATTGTTTGTAAAAATTTTGTAGGTATTGCTAAATGAATAAAAAAAAAGTATTTTTGTTAGTGAGAACTTCTTAAAAAATTTAATATATAATATAATAAATGTAATATAATATTTTGTATGCCTTCTTTCATAAGAGCATTAATAAAGAAGAGAATCAAAGGCTGCTTCAATTTCCTCTCCTGATACACGAGACGTAGTTTTCAGATTTGTAAATTAACGCTCTTCGGTCTGCTACTTTCTGTTCTGTGATGTGTGTTAAGTGTGGGTAAATTTCCATAAAACATTTATATAATGCCTGCCGGTAACCCAAATAGACTGTTTCGCAATGGGTAGTGCGCTGGAATATCCTAACAGTATTTTCAGTCATGTCAGTTGTCATGGATCCTCCATCGTGGCAGGCCTGCCGGAGTGTTCCCGAGTGATGGCCCGGAAACACTGTTGGCAGGTGCAGCTGATTGTTTTGGGGTGCTGTGTTTGTCGACTAGTAGTTTCGGGTGTCCCAGTGTATGACCGCCTGTTCAGCGTCGCACCACTAGCGGCTGGCATGCTGTCACGACCAGCGCCAGCTCCAGTCGCGCCTTGGCGATCTCCAGGCAGCGGCACATTATCCGAGGCCTTTCGAATTACATCGACTCTCCATACAGTTGACTGATATGGATTGCCATTGCCCTGTTAGTCGGTACTGATACATTAGTAACGTTGCCCGCCCCACACGGGGAATAGATGTTCTTTGCTTGGACGTAGGGATGAACTTCGGAGGACTTATTATTATTGTTATTGTTATCTTACATTATTCACAGTATCTACTGGTCGGTATGTAAACCACACACAGGTATGATGACCAGGTGTGTGATTGCTTTACTGAAGGTTCAGATGGATTCTGACAATACAGCATTTATTCAAAATGACTGATTTTTGCATATTATATACATTTCTGGCATCCAAGTGAAGACACTCCAGTGCCCGAAGTTTCATTTTTGGGATCACTCCTGAAGCTGATATTATTATAGGCACAGTTGTCACTTTACTGAAGTTCCACTAAGTTGCGACTTCATAGGCGAGATCGGTATACTTCTGGATCTTCTCTTGACATTTTCCCGATATGTTGTGGGTATTGGGTATTGATATATCGATAAGGAAAACCTGCTGATGGTTTCTATCAATGTACGTTATATCAGGTCTATTGCCACCGACATGTCTGTCAGTGATAATGGAACGATCCCAGTAGAGCACACAACTTTCAAGCACATTCTGAGGCACATATTTATAATACGGCACAGAAGTGGCGAGTAAGCCCGTTCTCAATGCCAATAATTGGTGTACCTGCTTCGCCACTTCATCATGCCTCTTTTTGTATTCCAACAGTGCGTAGCTGCTACAACCACTTGTCACGTGTTGGAGAGTTTCGCTTGCAGCTTCACATCTTCTACACGAGTCGGAATGAATCGTAGAATCTCTCAGAATGTGTCTTCTGTAGTTCAATGTTAGAACCACTTGGTCCTGGATAGCTATCATGAAGGCTTGTCTCCGGAAAGAGATCCCCGTGCTGGAGCCATGCGTGCGACGCAGAGATGTCGACTTCTGGTTTACTCAGCTCGTGAGGGTACCTTCCATGCAGTGCCTTTGCTTTCCAAAAGGTTATCTTCTCTTCCGTTTCAATGATTGGTTGAACAGGCGGATCAAGCTTTTTCAAGTTCAGAGGACTATAGTTATTATCAACTGCGCTCACTGCTTGCTGAACCCTCCCACACTGTTCCAAGAAGTATCTTCTGAGCGAAGCATTTTGAGAGTTGTGTAGATTTATGAGATCTACAATACCTCGCCCTCCTTGCGACCTAGGAAGGGTGAAACGCTCAGTACTTGAATGGGGATGATGTTTTCGGTGTTGAGTCATAGCGGTTCGAATTGTTCTCTGGAGGTTGTCGAGGTCCGTATTGCTCCATTTAATAACGCCAAAGGAGTATGTCAGCACTGGAATAACAAATGAAATGATGGCCTGCACAAGGTTTCTAGCAGAGAGTTGAGTTTTTAAGAGTCCATGCAATCAATTACACACTTCATTTGTTTGTATGTTCTTAGTAACAATGTGTTTGATTCGGAGTGACTGTTGGAAACCCAAGTATTTGTAAGTTTTGTTAAGTTTCATGACGGTTCCCATGAAGTAACTCTTTGTTCATTATCAGTTTCCAAATTTAATAACTGCATATGACCCCGAATGATATTCACTCTCCTGCACATTATCCAAACCGAATTTTCATCTTAATATATCGTCAGTAAACTTCGTCACGTTTATTAGTTGCCGCAATGACTCTGTGTCTGCATAGAGCTTCATCATCCATGTAAAGAAGATGTGAGGACCAACGAAGAAGAGTTTTTAGTTCCCCTTTTTAAGAGCGATTCCATTATTAGACGAATTAAAAGTAGAGTAGACAGGGCTTCAAGGCTAAGCAGAACAAAAAAGCTTAAACGAATCACCTGAAAATCCTGGGTCATGGGTCTTGGTCTGGCATTACTAAATGAAATAGATGATTTTGGTGTGTTAAATTTATTTCCGCACAGGTAACCCCTCCCGCACCAGTCATTCCCTCCGCTCAGTATCCCCTCCGCACAAGTATCTCTCGCACCGTACCTCAATACCTGCACCAGATACTAACCACAGTATACCACTCCGCCACCAGTATCCCCTCGCCGCTACCTCCGGAGTCATCACCTCTCGCACAGTATCCGTCCGCACCAGTATCCCCGCAGTTTCACGCCAATATCCCGCCATATCCTCGACAATTCCCTCCGTACAATATCCGCCTGCGCACCAATATTCCCTGCGCACCAATATCCTCGCAAACCGAATCCCCTGCGCACCAATCATCCCCTGCGCATCCATACGCTCACTACCCTTTCCCCGACCTCACCAGTATCCCCTCGCACCAGTATCAGGGCGCCTGAATCGGGCCGTCCAGCCGGCCGACGCGGCCCTGGCCGCGGCTCCACGGGGTAGAGGGGTCGGGCGACCGCGAGCTGCCTGCGCTATCCCGCTCTCCCGTACTCTCTCACGACACGCACCACCGCCCCCGAGCGTGGGTGGATGGCGCGACCGTCAGCGGGAAGAGAGTAGTGGATCTCGAGGAATGGAATTGAATTGCACGCGACACTGCGTCGTCAGAGCCCAGTGTTATCGCCAGTTTGTCGCGTCGGGAAAGCTGTGTAGCAGAACGCGTATTTGGATCAAATAAACAAGAGAAAGCCGACACGCTCAGTAGAAATCACGACTTAGTGACATATCATAAATTTAAGAGCCTCACCTACTCATCTCTCGCGAGGCCAGAGAATACTATATCTATAATAACATATGCGCTCGTTGGAGAACAGTCAAAACTGAAGAGAGTTGGCATGTATATAAATATCAGTACTTGCTGTCACCATAATCAGACAAAAATCGAGAATCTGTCTCAAATCACCATGTTTCAGTCTAAATGTACAGTAGAACCCTAAAAGAGAAATAAAACTATAGTGTGTGATGCCCGGATGACATAACACTCTCGCAACCCAAAAATAACACATCACTAATAAATAAAATTGCTCCCTTGAGGAAGAGGACAATCGGAATGAAGTAAAGAAAATTTCACTGGAATCGCAAGCGCAATGTTAGTGGGTTAACTTATGTCAAACAGCACGAGTTACACTTAGTGTTGTATCATTTACGCACTTCTCTGGGAAATGACATAACTGCATTACTCTCTCTCACATTTAATGACCACTTAGAGTAGGTGTTTGAAGTGGGTATTTCCCATCGCTGGTGTTACTGACGTTTACTTGTAGACTGACATCCCATCGTTTAATGATCTCTCCTTCGCATGAGGGAAATCATTCCCAAGCTCACTAAGATCAGATCATATTCCTCTATCGTAAAACCCAATCTCCCCTGCATTGTTCATTGTTCTGAATATGTAGCGTAACTAAATATTGCGACAGATCACTCAATAGACAGAGACATCCCAGGTCCGAACCAATATCCCCTCTCCGCACCAATATCTCCCCCCGCACCAAATATCCCTCCGCACCAATACCCTCCGCAACCAGTATCCCTTCCGCACCAGTATCCGCTTCCGCATCGTAATTCCCCTCCGCACCAAGTATCCCTCCCGCACCAATATCCCCTCCGTCACCAGTATTCCCTCGCACGCAGTAATCCCATCCGCACCAGTAATTCCCTCCGCACCAGTAAACCCCTCCGCACCAAGTATTCCCTCCGCTCCAGTATCGCCCTGCCAGCACCAACGTATCCCTCCGCACCAGTTATCCCTCTCCGCAACAGTATCCCCACGCACAGTATCCCCCTCCGCACCAATATCCCCCTCCCGTTAACCAATATCTCCGTACCAATCATCCATCCGTACCAATATCCCCTGCCGCCACGCATATCCCCCTGCGCACCAATATCCCCTGGGCACAATATCCCCCGCCGCACCAGTAAAATCGCGCTCAGCACCAGTATCCCCTCGCGCACCAGTATCCCCACCGGCAACAAAATATCCCTCGCAGCAATAATCCCCTCCGCACCAATATCCCTGCGCACCAATTTTACGCCTGCGCACCAATATTTCCCTTCAGCGCACTCAATATTCCCTGCGCACCATATTCCCTGCGCACCAATATCCCTGCGCACCAATATCCCCTGCGCAGCATATATTCCTCCGCACCAGTATCCCTTTCGGCACCCAGTATCCCGCTCCGACCAATATCCCTCCGCACCAGTATCCCCATCGCCCAAATATCCCCTCCGCACCAGTAATCCCATCGCCAGCCATTATATCCCTCCGCACGACATATCCCTCTTCAACCAGATCCCTCTGCACCAAGATCCCTCCGCACTAATATCCCTGGCCACCAATACTCCCCCGCAGCACCATAATCCCCTTGCGCAAAGCCAATTATCCTCAATCGACCAATATCCCCTCCGCACCAGTAATCCCTTCGCACAAATATCCCTCCGCAACCCAGTATCCATACCGAACAATATCCTCCGGCACCATAAACCCCTCCGCGCCCCATTATTCCCCACAGCACCAAACTATCCCTTCGCACCAATTATCCCCTCCGACGCAATAACACCTTGCGTACCAATATCCGCATGCGCACCAATATCCCCTCCGCA